TCCAATGCATGAAAGTGAAAAGTGAAAGTGAAGTCGCTCAGTCGTGTCCGACTTCCCATGGACTGCAGCCCACCAGGCTCCTCCGTCCATGGGATTTTCCAGGCAAGAGTACTGGAGTGGGGTGCCATTGCCTTCTCTGGAACAATGCCTAACACACATTAAATACCTATTTCAGTGCTGGCTCCTCTTACTGATAGTAACACTGCCTTGGCTTCCCTTTCAGAAAATTTAAGAATTGTACTGTGCCTCCGCTTTCAAAGCCACTCAGTGAAGGCTGAGGATTTCTCGATGTTTCTAACAGGAAGGACGTCCTGTAGGATAAAGTAAGAAGGTACGAGGGCTGTGTCCAGGTGTTTAGGGATCCGCAAGGGCCCAAACACAGACCTTTACGGTAGAACGAGCGGTTTTTCGGCTGGGATCCTGGGAGATTGGGCTTTTATCCCTCATCCCGGCCGTGAGTCTTTTCTTCAGACCTGGCAGTGGCACACGTTGGAAACGCGGGCAAGTCCGGGCAGCGCGACCCCGTGGGGTGATGAGCCTGGGAACGCAGGGCTGACCGCCTCAAGTGTCCTGGCCAGAATGCCAGAGCCGGGCGGGGCAGAGGAACCTGAGGCCTCGGCCGCCGGCCCCGACCGGGACTCAGGACCTGGGAGCCGCGCGGCCCTTTCTCTTCCTCAAAGGGCTGAGGCGCAACCGCGGGGCTCAGGAGCAGGTGGCCCTGAGACCGGGTGGACATTCCTGGACCGCCCCTACACACGCCACCGTTCATAGCAGCCGGACGGCACTACAGCCGGGCCTCAGCCACCTGGTGGCACCCTGGCCCCGCCCCTGACGTCCACACGCGGTCTGCGCGGGGCCTTGTGGGCCGCACGGCGCCCCCTAGTTCCAGGCCAGGGCTTGGGGCAAAGCCTCCTTGCTTGGATCCCTGCTGCTTTCGGGCTTCTGCAGTGGAAGTGCCTTTACCCCAGGCCTACAGTCTCATGAACCCTCCTGCCTGCGCAGGGACTGGTAACAGAGGTCAGTATGGGCCCTTTCTTCTGAAGGGTCCTGGAACCATTGGATCAAAATTTGGGGTCCTAAACACTTAGATTTGAACCCCGGGTCTGCAGTCTACTAGCTGTGTGTCTTTGAGCACACACTTAACCTCTCTGAGGTCTGATTTCCTCATCTGGAAAATAGCAGAAACACCGTTGGTATCTTAGAGTCACTATGAATATTGTAAAAGCAAGCTGGGTTCAGAACCCAGCTGGCCCAGTTGCTTGGGTTAGCTTCTCTGTTCTCCTGTTTGCTGTGAAGGAAGGGGATCTGTGAACTAGGGTTGATAATCCTTAACTCAAAGGGTTGTAAGAATTAAAGGTGATAAGCCTGTTGGGGGCAGTTAGTCTAGCACATGGTAAGAGCCTAAACAGTTAATTAGTTAAAGCATATCAGTGTCTGCCACTTTGAAATGCTGGGTAAATAGAGTTTTTTAATCTTAGTTCTCCTAATCTTTTTATCCTCTTCAGAGAGAAACAATGTAAAGGTGCATGTGGCCAGGCTGGGTGGTAGTGCACACAACCGGGAAGAGGCAGCTTGTGGCAGTAAATTAGGTGACACTTCTGAAAGCTACATGCCTTTCCTTCTGGCTCTTCCTCTTCAGTTTCTAGGGACAAGGTAAAAGAATAGGAAAGGCAGGGAAAAGGAACTTAGAACATGGAAGATGCGCAACAAATGTGTCTTGAGTAGAGAATGGCATTTCAAATATTGAGACAAAGGGTCTGTCTGGAATGGAATAGGAGACCCAGAATTGGGGTTGGCTTCCATCTCTCTGCACCTGGCTGCCAGTAGGGATGCTAAGAGCATTTCTGTGTGACATTCTGTTTTTGGCTTCTGGGAGGGGAAGATACAGGGGTGAATTATCTTGGGGATGAATGAGGCCTTTAATGGAGGGATGGGAATCTATAAATTCCCCAAAGCTTGAAAATTCAATTTAGAGTCCAGGACCTTACATCCATAGGCATCCCTTAGTCATCTTTAAGGCTCAGACCCTTTCAGAGGAGGAAAGCACACCTGTATCACCATATGCTTCATCACTTGCCTCATTCTCTCAATACCAGGGTCCTCTGATTTTTCAGATGGGATCACTGATATGCTTTTTTGTTCTCCATAGATAGTAGGATAATGGAGGATGATGCTGTACCAGGAACAAACAGTCCATCGGGGGAAACATGGCCCCAAACAGCATTCAAGACCCATACCCTTCTGTTTATTCTTAAGGGCAGAGAATACTGATGCAGGAACAGCAATCTAAGGTATTTCATAAACTTCTGGCTCTTCCTCTGCTCTCTTCTAAAACCTTGACTAAAAAGCTTTGGAATAGAAAGGAGAATAAAATGAAATAAAACCATTTCCTCAGTGTTTCACCCCCCACCTCCCTCCAATTCCAGGGCAAAGGCAACAACTGGTGAGAAGGAGCTGCAACTTAGAAAAGATTTATTTTTCCTGGCCATAAATCTCATCCCCTTGTTCCTCTGCCCAACGAAGCATGCTAAAGTCCTTTTCCATAAAGTATTCAGTATTAGAGCCACAAAGCTCCCCCAATCAGTAGCCATCTGCTTCTACCATAACTGCTGCTCCCGAAGCAGGGAGAGCAGCCGCAGAGAAAGGGCACCAGTGTTAGACTGCCGGACAAATGAGGAGACTGAATAGCTTTGGTTTGCCTTGTGTATCTGTATCTATAGAGACAGGAGAAGAAAGGCCGCATTATATTGATACAACAATTGTAAAACAAAACACGGAAGAGGCATCTAAAGGGCAATATCGCATGCATCAGGGGTCTCCAGATAAAAGGGGCACTAACAGATTTATAGAAACCTTTAATTGGTTTTCAATTGAAAGCTAAAGAGGCTGGGGCGAAGCTGTGAAGAGTGGCAAAGTGCCCCCCTTCAGCTGTCTGGGAGGCGTGATCGATTTTGCGGAGGGCGAAAAGAAGGATCCGGAACCCGCCCGGCGCCTGGGAGAGGGCAGGGAACAGCTCCGCGTGAGGAGCTTTGCTCTGGGGCCAGGGAGTGACTGATTTGATCTTAATAACAGAATTTCTCAATCGTTCGCTTTTCCTTCCCTTCCTTCTTCCCTTCCTCCCATCCTCTCTCAGACCAGTACGCAAATGGAGAGGGAAGGAAAGGATGCAAGAGTAAGTTTCCATCTCCGGAAGACAGAGACCCCAATCTGAAACACCAAATTCTGCCGCTAGGAAGGAGGCGTCTTTGGAAGAAACAGGAGTCCCGCCCTCACCCCATCCCAGTCTTCTCCTCTCTCCTTCTTTAGACCCAAACAGGAAAAGCTAAGCATCACTGGAGACTGTGCACTTACTACGGGTCAGTCTTTGCTCGCGCCCACTGGCAGGTTTCTGAGCGGGTCTCTCCCTTCGGCGGGCACCGCGCGCCTTCGCTTAACCCCTTCCTTTCCGGCCGGCGCCCTCGGCCCCCCGCCCCCCACCGCCTCCGCCGACGGTGCCCACCCACACAGCAGTCCCAGACGTCCGGCCGTCAGCTCCTAAGGCTAATTTATTGGCCCGACCCTCCATTATCTTTTTCGATTTCCTAATTAATCAAAGATAAAAAGCAATGGTGCAAATTACGATTATGAGGGAACTGGAAGACGGTTTTGAATAAAACGGGAGACGGGAAACGTGATTGATTGAACGACAGGAGGGTGGAGAGGGAAATCTCAAGTGTGAGGAACAGGCCTCAGGGGCTGAAACCTTGACCCCCTCCGTCTAGCGAGCTGACCCCCTCTGCCTGCCCTAGCGCCGTCGCCACGGGTCAGCCCCAAAGGAGGTCAGTTGTGTCGGAAGGCTTCGGAGGAAAGAGAACTGGATTTCCTCTCGGGCTCCAACCTCCCCTAGGATGGAGCCTGCCGCCTAGCTCACTCGACCTTCCCCACCCCGGCCCACTCCGCTACCGCCCCTACAGGAATTTCAGGGCTCCTCGCCGGCGATCCCACTCTAGGGCAGGAGAACCTCCGGACTGACATGCACCCCCATTATTGCGATGCTGTGTCGCGTCGCCAGTCTCTCACAGTTTTCCGTCTGTCTTTGGGTATTCCTCTGGCGAAGCGAGGCCAACTCTTCGTGAAATTGCAGGAAAACAAGTCTAGTAGGTCAGAGATTGCATTTGCTCGTGTAAGGGATTAATAGAGTCCCTGTCTGATGCTGCCTTGCAGAATTACGTTCGGGATTAAAAGACAGATACGGCGCGGGCACCCATTTTGCATTTTCTGGTGGTTGTGATTAATATTTCCGAGGGGATTTGTACTGGGAGCTTACGGGACGCACTCTCGGCGGTCTAATGCCAGACGGCCGCGCGCAGGGCCCGGCAGGGGGCCTGTGGGCACGCGCGCAAGCCCTGGGGGGATTGGAGGGGACGCCAGGCGCCGAGACCTTTTAGCGCCTTCCCCCCTCCACCCTGATCCCAGCACAATTTCTACCGAAGACCGCAGGGAGGACTGCCCGGGGAGGGGGACTTTAAAGTCTTATCGGGCTCTCTTATACGGGAAAATGCCCTCGAAGGGTCCTGACTCTAGGGTGGGAGAAAAGGGCTCGGTGCCAGGCCGCTGAACTTCACACATCCGCCCAGTAAAGAGAATTCCGAAGTCCGTGTTCAGGGGAAGCGCTGCTCCCAAACGCATCACTCCCCTCCCCAAGTGACTCAACGGACCCAGGTCAGGAAGAGGGTGATCTCAACCCTTTCGAACCGCCATTCTCAGAGCTGCTTTGGGGGGCCTACCAGGATGCACCTGCGGAGGGGAGCTAGCGCCTAGGCACTAAATACATCCCCCTTCCCATCGCCCCAGGAGGTGGACAAACCCGCGGATGAAGGGACCGGGAAAGAAGAAAGATGCAGGATGCGCAGGAAGGGAGAAGGAAGAGAACCTGGCAAGCGAGGAGGGGGTGGGAAAAGAGAGGCAAATAGGAAGCGACAGAGAAGAGCGGAGAAAAGTGAGGAAGCGGGTGGTCGCAGTTGGTGGGCATTACCGCTCTCCGGCAGAAGGGGGCACCTCTCGGGCCGGGACAGCCTTCGACAGGGCCGGGGCGGGACGTCCGGGCGGAGCCCGCCCTCGGGCAGGGGCTCCGGGGTGCTGGGCGCCCCCTCCTGGCGGCTGCGCGGCGCTCACCTCGGCGGTCCCGCGGGTGCTGGGGTCCCGCGCCGGCTCGGCCCGAGGCGCCGGGGACCCGGAGGTGGTGCGGGGGAGGGAAGTCGGGAGAACGAGGCGGTGTGAGGGTGCCGAGCGGCGGGCAGGCCACCCCCCCCCCACCTCCCGAGGCCTCCCCAGCGCGCTCCTCACCTGGGGCCTGCGGGGCTCCTTCCCCGCGGGCACGGCTCCGGCGCGCCCCTCGGCGGCCCGGCTCCTACCCCAAGCCGAGCCGGCGGAGGAGCCCGCCCTCCTCGCTGAGCAGTCGCGGTCTCCGCCGCCGCAGCAGCTGGGAGGGAGGGAGCGACCGGTGGCTGCTGCCGGGCGGCGTCTGGGGGCCGCGAGCCGAGCGCGAGGAGCCGCCATCTGGAGCCTCGGCTGCGGGCGGGGGTGCGGGTGCCAGGGAAGGGGCCGGGCGACTGGGCCCGGGGCGCGCGAGAGGCCGGGGTCCGAGCGGCGTGGGAGCGGAGGCCTGGGGGTGTGATGGGAAATGTGCGGGAGGGGGTCTGGCCCCTGGGGAGGGGGAGCAGAGGCCTGCCCCCTTTCGGGCCCCCCCCCCCCGAACCCCGGGGCAGTCCCGACCCGGAGGTCTAGCGAAAGATCGAGGCACCCGCGTGGCAGTCCCTCCCCCTCGCGGGGTGGAGAGCTGAGGCGAGGCGGGGCGGGGGGGCGGTGTGGGTACCAAAACTCTCCTACACGCTCACACACCCGCTGCCCATCAGAAGTGGTTTTCTCATTTCCCTTTCCTCCCACCTTGTCCATCCCACTCCAGGAAACAGTCCCCTCCATACGGCGTGGATTTTTGGACACCTCCACATCACTCCAGAGAACTTTTTCAGCCAGAACGTGGGACAGACACTGACAGGATACCATCCTTGGGGATAAACGCCATCTAGTTTCCGGTGGACGGTGGAAAAAGAAGGGGGTGGTGGTGTGGGGGAGTGCATTCTTGCACTTTTAGCGTAGCGTGGAGGGGGGCGGGGGATAGGAAATGTCATTTCTTCTCTCTCTCTCTCTCTCTCTCTCTTTTTGTATTTCAGCTTCAATATTTTTATATCTTGAACTTAAAAAAAAATCTTCTGTCCTAAGTTTGGATGGGGGCGGGGAGCAAACTCAAGGAAGAGGAAAGGCGACGAACGTGGGAGAGAGCCAACGAACTCCAGCCCTCCAGCTTCCGGGCTGTCCCTGAGGGAGATGCCCTCAGCCATAGGTTTTAGCTCAGTGCAGGGGGAGCTGATTGGGTGTATGGGTGGTGGCGGGAAGTCCGGATTAAAAAAAAGAAGAAGAAGCCATGCTCATTCCCACCCCAAGGCATTAAAAGACACTCCCTCCCCCAGCTGTCTTGTGTCCGGCAGAATGGCATTATGTAAAAGATCTGGCATGTCACCCAGTGGCACATCTGGTAGGTGTAGATGACATTCATTAGCACAGGGCTTCTACTCCGCAGCATGCCAAAGCCCTGACAGAGATGCCCGCTGCCAATCATTCATTCGCTGCCAATCCCAGAGCGTGGCCGGGCGGGATGGCTCCCTTCCACCCTGGCACAAGGACTGGAGGAAACAATGTGTTGAGATACGAAGAGATGAAAGCGGGGCTGAGGACGCGAGGCACCCAACAGATGTATCCCGTGAGGAGATAATGGGGCAGAGTCATTTAGCAACAAAGCATATGCAGGATCTCAGAAGGGAGGCTTGGGCAGGGGTCTGCCTTCCTAAGATGCACTGAGGGAGCGGCAGGGGAAGCCCTTCAAAATCTCAAAGTTGGAGCTACTCCTCTAAAAATACACAACGATCAAACCCCTCCCACATTACCTGTAAGACCACTCTCTCTCCCCTACCCTCTCTCCTCTCTCTCCCCCCACCCCTGTCCCCACGCCGTCTGTACCTCTGTGTCCCTAACTAGCTCTGAAAAGATGCACTTCTCTGCCCTCTTCAGGGTTTCTGGTCACCGCTATAAGGAACACCTTCCTGTTTTTAATGTTCCACCCAAGTCTTTGCCTTGTAATTTGAGGAGGAAGGGAGTCTGTCAGGCTACTTTTACTGCATTTGAAAAAGTAAAGTGTGTTCAGGGACTAACTGTTGCATATATTAACAACTTAAGTGGAAAAAAAAAGGGAAATGTCTTGTTTCAATTTCTAGCTTTTCAAAGGGCATAGAGATGAACAAGGGAAAGCAATTTTTAAAACAGCCAGGGATGGATAAATGTAAAATGCAGGATAGAAGTTTCCTCTGAGGTTTTTTTTCTTCTTAGGCTGGGTTGTGTTTACTTAAGTGGACAGCATATTGGGTTTTTTTTTTAATGTCAGGCACATATTTTATAGATATTCTTTGTGTCCATTCCATATTTAATAAAACAACAACAAAACTCAGAGGCTTTAGCTTTAGGGCTTGTGGAACTCAGTACTTAAGTTGAGTATAACAGCTTGTTATTGAATATATGTATACATATTGTGTATAAAATTATGATACTCTTTTTAGTGTAAATAGTACTATGAAATATTTGGGTCATTCTTATACTGGCTCATGATCACAAGATGACTGCCATAATTCCAGGCATCACACCATTAAGAAAGGGAATAGTTCTTTCCTTTTATGTCAAGGAAATACTTTTGGTTTTTGTTTATTCCCTGGCCACAGATACTTGCAAAGTCTGGGAGAACCAACCTTTAAAATGTAAAAAGATAGAGATAAGGATATTGAGAATGGTTGTGAGTTGCAACCAAGGGTGTCTGGCAAAAAGCTCAGGGCAGAGAAGACTTAATGCTAGCATGAGGCAAGAGCAGATTATCACATTTTATTGTATTATTTTAAATAAAAAGCTTTTGTTCTCATTACTGTCATTAAAACTGATCAGTCAGGGATACCGTACTTGAATTTAGCAACTTCTTTGTGAGTTTCATTAAATTCTATTTCAAAATAAAGACTCAAGCTTACTCAACATGTTTATAAGACAGAGACATAAACTCTGACTTGTATCTGAATAAAATTAGTTTGGGGAGGAAAAATATAAATAGAACTAACTTGTTTACAAACCTAAATAAAGCAAGGAAAATGACTCCTGTTAGAAGGACTAGAGTGTTAATCCCAACTCTGTTAACTCACTATATGTGTGACTTTGGATATTTTTGCAGTTTAAGTCTATATCCTTATCTGTTGCTACCGCTTCCCTTGTAGCTCAGTTGGTAAAGAATCTACTTGCAATGCAGGAGACCTGGGTTCGATTCCTGGGTCGAGAAGATCCCCTGAAGAAGGGAATGGCAACCCATTATACTATTCTTGCCTGGAGAATCCCATGGACAGAGGAGCCTGTAATCCATGGGGTCTGAAAGAGTCAGACAGGACTGAGTGACTAAACCACCACCATCACCTTATCTGTAAATTGGTTAATAATGTATTAGCCTTGCAGGGTTATGGTGAGACTTAGAAATAATGATGGGTTTTAAAATGTAGTAATTGTTAGGGACCCAGTAGGAGTCAGAATTCAGCCTAAGTGGATCAAAGGAAGAGATTACTTAAAAAGAGGTGGGCACAGCTGTGGGAACAAATGAGATAATGAAACACACAGAAACAGCACTGCAAGAAGCTCTTAGGAGAGGAATTAGAGTTTCTAGAGCCCAGTAAGGACTGGAACCTTGGAGGAGAGCTCAGGAGCACAACCTACTGCCAGAGAGGCAATGATATAGCAAGGAGAGAAGGGACGTAACACCCCAGTCCTTCTCATCTCACATCTTCCAATTTCATGTTGATATCTTCTGTTGGCCCAACCCAGCTGGGAACTAGTTGGCAATGTACTGGAACATGATGCTGGATCTACATGGGTCAGCTTTTGAGGACCTCAAGCCAGGCCTAGAAGGCTGGAGAATGGATCTTGGGGAGAATAATCAGCATATAACTATTATCATTCATCACAAAGTTTGTCTGAGAACTCTCTCTGCAAACATCTTTTCGAAGCACAATTCCAACTGGAAGTAGAAACTTAACAGGCTTTAAATAAACCTAACCATCCAAGTTTTTAAGAGCCATTTCTCAGAGCCCTTTGGCTGCAAGTTCCTACTAGCACTGATTTCCAGAGGTCTTGGCAGGCTGTGTCAGCCAAGACCTGGAAGAATTTGAGAGTACACCCCATTGACTTCCTCTGGGCATCCCTAGGTCTCTCATCATTTTGTGGTTTCCTGTGTCGGCCTCAGTCTTGCTAGACCTGGTTAGTCACTTGCTGACTGTTGCTTTCAAGAAAGTCAGCCAAGATTCAGCAAAAAGTGACTACTTCATAACAAATCAACCCTGCAGCAATGGCAAATCCTACTAACACATTTTCTTGAGTTCAAAGTCTGTGTGGACTTCAGATTGAAGTAACTTTTCCTCGTCCCGATTTTACCAGACCTATCCTCTCCTCCTATACCTGAACTAACCCATAGGTGAAATGATGAAAAACAGTGGTAAAGAAGCATGTTCTTTTTTCTAATTTTATATAAAATTATAACTAATATCAGAATCTTGAGTGTTCACACTACATATTAGTACAATAAAAAGCCACATTTTTGAATTTCCTAGGCACTGAGTTTAAAAATTTGTGAGGTCTGATACAAAATTAAAAGTCACTGTTTTAATGGAGAGAAACAATTATAGAAAAATAGAATGTGAAGAGTGAGATGCAAAGATGAATAATTTTGAAGTACTATATACAACTAAACAATGACTCAAAATAACACTTGAAAGTGTTTAAATGCAGACATAGAGATCAGTAGAACAGAATAGAGAGCGCAGAAATAAACTCACACACTATCGATTAATTTATGACAAAGGAGGCAAGAATATACAATGGAGAAAAAACAAGTCTTTTCAGCAAGCAGTGTTGGAAACACTGAACAGCTACATGCAAATTAATGAAATTAGAACACTCCCTCACACCATATAAAAAAGTAAATTCAAAATGGTTTGAAGACCTAAATATAAGACATGATACCATAAAACTTCTAGAAAAGGATGTGGGCAGAACACTCTCTGACTTAAATTGTAGCAGTATTTTCTTAGACAGTTTCCCAAGGCAAAAGAAATAAAAGCCAATGAGACCTAATCAAACTTAAAAGCTTTTGTACAGGAAAGGAAACCATCAACAGAACAAAAAGACAGCCTATGAAGTGGGAGAAAATATTTGCAAATTATGAGACCAATAAGGGGTTCATATCCAAAAATATACAAATAGCTCATACAACTCAATCATTCTATATACTAACAATGAATAATTAGATACCAAATATTTTCTGTACTACTAAAGTTCCTGATAAAAGAAGGAAATGAATAAGTCTAACTAAATTGTGTAGGACCTATATGCTGAAAACTAAAAAGTGTTTACTAAAGAAATTAAAGAACATTTAAATGATGGAAAGATATATCTCACTCATGGTTTGCAATACTCAATGTAGGAAATAAATAATAAAAAAGAGCTACAAATACAGCTTTTATTTTAGGTTTTTTGGCAAAGGTGCAAAAATAATTAAATGGAAAATTAATAGATTTTTCAATAAATGTTATTGCAACAATTGGACATCCATATGCCAAAGCAAAAGAAAATAATAAAATCTCACACTTATTGCACCAATATTAATGCACAATAAATAGATCATAGATCTAAATCTAAAATCTAAATCTTATAGAACTTTTAGAAGAAAACAGAAGTAAGTCTTTATGACTTGGGGTTAGGCAAAGAGTTCTTAGTCATGATATCAAGAGCATGACTGAGAAAAGGAAAAAAAAAAATAACTTGGACTTAATAAAAATTTAAAACGTCTTTTCTGTGAAAGCCTCTGTTAAGAGAATGGATAAACAAGTTCAGGCCAGGAGAACACATTTGCAAATCATATATCTAACAAAAGACTTGTATTCAAAATAGAAAAAGAACCTGTATAACTCAACCATAAGAAAATAAAGAGCTCAATTAAAATACGGGTAAAGGGTTTAAATAGATACTCACTCATCAGAATGTATCAATCACAATGAAGACATGAAATGATGTTCAACATCTTTAGATACTGCATATATGAAAATTAAAACTACAGTGATTTTTGATATTTGAATAGTTTAAAAGAATATTGATAATACCAAGTACAAGTGTATTAGTCTGCTTTGGCTGCTGGTATCAGAATACCCTAGACCTGGTGGCTTAGACAACAGGAATTTCTCACAGTTCTGGGGACTGAAAATCCAAAATCAGGATCCCGACATGGCTGGGTTCTGATGAGAACCCTTTTCCTGTTTTGCAAATGACTGCCTTCTTGCTGTATTCTCATGTAGCAGAAGGAGAGATCATTTTTATCCAGTCTCTTCTTATGTGGGCACTAATCCCATTCATAACGGCTCTACTCTAAGAGAGTAGACCTAGGGCTTTTCTGGTGGCTCAGTGGTAGAGAATCTGCCTGCCAGTGCAGGAGACACAGGAGACATGAGTTTGATCCCTAGGTCAGAGAGAGCTCTGGAGGAGGAAATGGCAGCCCACTTCACTGTTTCTGCCTGGGAAATCCCATGGATGGAGGAGCCTGATTGGCTGCAGTCCATGGGGTCGCAAAGAGTCAGACAGGATTGAACAACTGCACACATAGGCTCATGACCTGATTACTTCCCAAAGTCTCTACCTCCAAACACCTTCACACTGGGGATTACAGATTCAGCATATGAATTTTGAAAGAAACACAGACATTTAGTCCTTAGCAACTAACAAAGATATAGAGGAAATAGAACTCTAAAATACTGTGGGGACATGAAATCATCCTGTCACTCTGAAAAGTTTGATAGTTCTTTTAAAAATAGTTAAACACATACTTATGTGACCCAGAAGTCTCATTGTTTGAGTGTTTATCCTAAAGAAATGAAACTGATATTCACAGAATCTTATTCGCTAACATTGATAACAGCTGTATTCACAATATGGAAAAAAAAACATAATGTCTTTTAGTGGGTGAATGAATAAACCACTTTCATACATACATAAAATGGAAAGTACTCAGAGAAAAAGGAATGAACTCTTGATATAAAGAAAAACTTGGATGATACCCAAAGGCATTACACTGAGTGAAAAAAGTTAATCTGAAAATGTTTAGTCACCAAGCCAAGTCCCACTCTTTTGTGACCCCTTGGACTGTAGCCCACCAGGCTCCTCTGTCCATGGGATTTCCCAGGCAACAATACTGGAGTGGGTTGCCATTTTCTTTTCCAGGAAATCTTCCTGACCCAGCGTTCAAACCCAAGTCTCCTGCTTTGGCAAGCGGATTCTTCACCACTGATCCACCAGGAAAGCCCCACAAAAGGTTATATAAACTGTTGTTTTTATTTATGTTACATTCTCTAAAAGACAGAACTATAGTCCTGAGAAGTGGAGTGTTGCTGTAACATATAACAAAAGATGTGAAAATGGCTATCCTATCCTTATCACTACTTTAGGGGTTTTGAGATATTTAGAGGCTGATCTTGGGGTGGGGGGGGAAATATGACCATGAGGTGGTAGTTCCACAAACAGGATTTATTTGGGTAACACTTTGGTGGATTTGCATATTAGGTGGAATCTCTCACAGCAGGAAACTGTCCAGAGGGACAATTGTTCCTCTGGTAGTAATTGTTTTACCACCAAGAAAGGTAGCATGACAAGGGAATTCCGAGAGAAAGGTGTGAGAGGTGATGTTGCTCATTAGCCCAACAGAGAGTCTCTGTGTTTTGAAGGGTGGCAGCAGTTTAGGGTTTTTACAGCTCTTTAAGTTTGTTTTAACTATCGCTAGCAGATGTTGTGTGCAGGTTTATGGGGCATGCAAAGCAGATGGACTTTACATGGTTAAAAATCCATTTGTTTGGAGTGTGTTTAAAACAACTGGGGGTGTGAAAATTTGAGTTTGACACTGGTGAAGTTGATGGTAGAAACTTGAAGAAGTAAATATCCCAGAGGCCAATATACAGAGGCTAACTCTGACTCATTTATATAACAATAGAGTAATGGGTAGAGGCTGAAAGAAATTTGAGCACAAAAAGTTTGCCTTAAAAAGGCTGTTGGGAGGAACATGAACGTTAAAGGCAGTTCTAGTAAGGATGCAGGAGGAAAAAAGGAACACATTATTGGAAGGTGAAGGAATTTTAAGTATAACTGGAAGAATTGTTATAGTGGCAGAAAACTTGGCCTCATTGTGTTCTACAGTTGTGGAGAAAGCAGAAATTGTAAATGATGAAATTGGATATGTTGCTGAAGAGATTTCCAAGCAAAGTATTAAAGAGGCAACCTGTTTTTCTTTTCTTTCTTTCTTTTTTTTTTTGCTTAGTAAAATGCAGGAGGAAAGAGATAAATTGAGGAAGGAATTGTTAAGCAAAAAGGAAGCAGTGCTTGATGATTTGAGAGGTTATTTGCCTATCTATATTTCAAAGGATGTTAATACTAGGAGACTGATTAGGGAAGTGTGTTCTGGAGAGAAGGCCAAGGGTATAGCTGGATAACACTTGCTGGATCAATTAGGCATGTGACTCATAAATCCACTCAATTATCTTAGGAGAAGGCAGGAATAGAGATAGAGTTATTCTGGAAATATTTCTGGGGGATTCTTTTGTCTAATGCTGTGGACCCTTGTGACATATAAGGGAGACCCACAAGGTTCTTGATAATGTTATATCAGCAGAAACACTGCCTGCTTGGACTGAAAGGGGTAGCAGCAGAACAAAATGAGAAAGCTGTTGGGCTTCCAGAATTATTCAAGCAGGACACTGCTACTGCAAACATATGCTACCCTTCAAGAAAAAGTAATAATGACCCCAAGGATGCAGCCCCTGCAGGTTGTACAGAGACCTATGGAGTCTCAGAGGCAGAGCATTAAAACACAGAATATTACCTTGAAGCTTAATGGAATTTTCCTTTATGTATTTCTAACATACCTGAAACTGGTGACCCCAATATTCCTTCCAATTTCTCCCTTTTGGAATAGGAGTGTCTATCCTGTCTATATCTAATATCTATGCCTATCACACCATTGTATTTTGGAAGCAAGGAACTTGTTTCCTTGTTTTAGATGTCCACAAAAAAGAAACTTTTGTTCCAGGATGGATCAGACTCAGTCTCTAACCCATACCTGACATAAATGATAAGATCTGGGACTTTTGTGCTGATGATATTTTGATGAAATTTTGGATTTAAGAGTTGATGCTGTAATGAGTTAAGATTTTGGAGGATGTTGGGATAATGAGAATGTACTTTACACATGAGACAGTTGTGAACTTTGGGGGACTAGACAGTGGACTTTGGTAGGTTGAATGGCATCATCCTCCAAAGATATTTTGTTCTTGTTCAGTTGCTCAGTTGTGTCTGACTCTTTGCGACCCCATGAACAACAGCACGCCAGGCTTCCCTGTCCAAAGACATGGTGGCCATATTCTAATCCGTAGAATCTGAGAATGTGATCTTATTTGGAAAAACAGTCTTTGCAGATGTAACTGTTAGGATTTTAAGATGAGATTACCTGTGCTGTGCTTAATTGCTCAGTTGTGTTCAAATCTGCGACCCCATGGATGGTAGCCCTCCAGGCTCCTCTGTCCATGGGGATTCTCCAGGCAAGAATATTAGAGTGAGTTGCCATGTCCTTCTCCAGGGGAGCTTCCTAACCCAGAGATTGAACCCAGGTCTCCTGCATTGCAGGCAGATTCTTTATCGTCTGAGTCACCAGAGAAACCGTGGACTCTAAACCCAATAACAAGTGTCCTTATAAGAGACACATAGAAGAAAGACACATAGGAAAATGAGAAGGCTATGGGAAAATGGAGACAGAGATTGGAGTTATACAATCATAAGCTAAGGAATGCCTGAAGCCATTGGAAGTTGGAAAAGTCAAGAAATTTTTCTTTCTTAGAAACTTCAGAGAGACTTACACCTTGACTTTGGACTTCTGGCCTCCTCCAGAACTATGAGAGAATTATTTTCTATTGTTTTTAAGTCACAGAGTTTGTCGTTAATTTGTTATGAAAACCCTAGGAAACAAATACACCTACCTTGTTATGTTTTTGGATTTAGAGCTCTGTTAGGAGAGAGTCACATCAGCATTATAAAAGAGCCATTATATATGGTTTTGGTTTCTTAGTGTAAGTTTGGGAGCCTGAGATTTTTGGTTCTGGAGATGATTTGTTGTTCACTTGCTAAGTCGTGTTCAGCCCTTTGTGATTCCATGGATGGTTGCCGCCAGGCTCCTTTGTCCGTGTGATTTTCTAGGCAAGAATATTGAATTGGGTTGCCATTTCCTTTTCCTGGGGGTCTTCCTGACCCAGGGATCGTATCTGCACCTCCTTTGTCTCCTGCATTAGCACGTGGGTTCTTTACTACTAACCCACGGAGGAAGCCCCTTTTGGGATGACTGGGACAAAGACAATACAATAAGTTTATACAGACATCTTTACAGGTCTCTTGCGCAGACTTCTATTCATAGCAAACTTTTAGGAAAAGCTTAAGATTCTATATCACCTATATTTTTGTATCTTATTTGGAAATATGCAATTCCTCTGGGAAAGTACATTGTTTTTAATTTGTGGTGGTATTACTTCTAGAATGGGATGTAATTCCAACATATAATTAAGACATAAGGACAAGAGGACAACCTTTCTGAGCTGGTTTTCTCATCTCTGAGATGGGAAAGCTCTAATATCCAATGTGCAGAATTGCATATTTTTTTCTTATGGAAAAGAATATGAGTCTGCTTTTAAAGGTGTAAAGTACTACTTGTGATGGTCAATTTTGGCTATGGGGTGCTTAGGCTAAATACTATTTCTGAGTGTATCTGAAGATGCTTCTGGATGAGATTAGCATTTGAATTGGTGGACTCAGTAAAGTAGATTGTCTTCCTGGATGGGGGTGGACAGCATCTGATCTGCTGAGGTCCTGAATGGGACAAAAAGCAGAGGGTGAGAAGACTCATCCCCTTCTTGCCTGCCTGCTTCTGCTGGAAAATTGGTTTATTTTCCTGCTCTTGGACTAGAATGTATACCACTGGCTTCTCTGATTCTCAGGCCTTGAGACTAGGATTGGAATTAACCACTGGCTTCCCTAGGTCTTCAGTTTGCAGATGGCAGATTGTGGAACTTATCAGCCTCATAATTATGTAAGTCAATTCCTCATAATAAATCTATCTGTCTGTCTATCTTGGTTCTAGTTCTGTGTTGGTTCTGTTTCTCTGGGGAACACTGACAAAAACACGCACAAATCTGCTTTAAGAGAACAGCATTGAAACACGTATATTATCTAGGGTGAAACAGTTCACCAGCCCAGGTTGGGTGCGTGAGACAAGTGCTCGGGCCTGGTGCACTGGGAAGACCCAGAGGGATTGGGTGGAGAGGGAGGTGGGAGGGGGGACCGGGATGGGGAATACATGTAAAAAAAAAAACAAAAAAGATACACTATGGTGATAAAAAAAAAAAAATAAATAAATAAATAAATAAAAAGAAAAAATGTGAAAAAAAAACTATTAATATTATTGGATGATTTTAAGTCAAACCATTATAACTTTTATGCTTTACTCTGTTGTGGTTTTCTTTTGTTTTTCCTCTCACTCCTTACTTCATTAAGTTCATTCATTCAACCAGGATATATCAAGCAGTCAAGCATCCTAACTTTTTGTCAGTTTGCACAACTTTGGATGACTTGTCTATCTCAGGTCATTTTCAGACTAAGAATTTTATTTCTAATTTTCGAGATTGTTAAAATCATAAGCTGTTTTTGGAAAATTGTGAGTAAGTGGTTTTCTCCTAGGATGAATATATTCACCAAGTTATACCCATTGGGATGTCACTTACCTGTTACATACTAGAGCTATTCAGCTATTTGGATGTTTTTCTTACTGGTAAAGGTTGGTCTTTTTGGTGCCTGGATCCAATATTCAGCCACCAGCAGAAGATAACATTGAATTACACAGGTAAAGGGCTCAGTCCAAAACCACCCTACACTTCAGGCACCAGTCACAAGTCCCTGTGATTCTGACTGACTGGCTACAAGTTGGAGATTCCAGTGACTCCTTCCAGCTCAGGATGTCAATGACAAGTCTACGTTTTTACCTATAGTTCTTACCAATCGGCTATAAATCAGAGGTTCCCACAACCCCTTCTTTGGGCTCAATTAATGACTGTGTGGATCACAGTAAACTGTGGAAAATTCTGAAAGAGATGGGAATACCAGACCACCTGACCTGCCTGTTGAGAAATCTGTGTGCAGGTCAGGAAGCAACAGTTAGAACTGGACATGGAACAACGGACTGGTTCCAAATAGGAAAAGGAGTGCGTCAAGGCTGTATATTGTCACCCTGCTTATTTAACTTATATGCTGAGTACACCATGAGAAATGCAGGGCTGGAGGAAGCACAAGCTGGAATCAAGATTGCTGGGAGAAATATCAATAACCTCAGATATGCAGATGATACCACCCCTATGGTGGAAAGTGAAGAAGAACTAAAGAGCCTCTTGCTGAAGGTGAAAGAGGAGAGTGAAAAAGTTGGCTTAAAACTCAACATTCAGAAAACTTAAGATCATGGCATCCGGTCCCATCACTTCATGGCAAATAGATGGGGAAACAGTGGAAACAGTGGCTGACTTTATTTTCTTGGGCTCCAAAATCACTGCAGATAGTGACTGCGGCCATGAAATTAAAGATGCTTACTCCTTAGAAGGAAAGTTATGACCAACATAGAAAGCATATTAAAAGTAGAGACATTACTTTGTCAACAAAGGTCTATCTAGTCAAGGCTATGGCTTTTCCAGTAGTCATGTATGGATGTGAGAGCTGGACTATAAAGAAAGCTAAGCACCAAAGAATTGACGTTTTTGAACTGTGGTGTTGGAGAAGACTCTTGAGAGTCCCTTGGACTGCAAGGAGATCCAACCAGTCCATCCAACCATCTCCTCAAGGCGATCAGTCCTGAGTGTTCATTGGAAGGACTGATGTTGAAGCTGACACTCCAATACTTTGGCCATCTGATGCAAAGAGCTGACTCATTTGAGAAGACCCTGATGCTGGGAAAGATTGAGGGCAGGAGGAGAAGGGGCCGACAGAGGATGAGATGGTTGGATGGCATCACTGACTCAATGGACATGAGTTTGGGTAAACTCTGGAAGTTGGTGATGGACATGATGGACAGGAAGGCCTGGCGTGCTGCGGTCCATGGGGTCGCAAAGAGTTGGACATGACTGAGCGACTGAACTGAATTTGCTAGAACAGCTTACAAAAGTCAGAGAAACATTGTACTTGCTAGATTACCATTTTATTATAAAGAATATTAAAATACACAAACCAACAACCAGATGAAGAGATACGTAGTGCAAGTTTCCAAACAAAGGGGCTTCTGTCCCCTGGAGCTTGGGGCTGGAACAGTGGCATGTGGAGGTGTTCTGGTTCCCCAACCTTGGAAACTCTCCAAACTTTCTTTGGGTTTTTAGAGAGGCTTCATTACATAAGTATGATTGATTAACTCACT